GAAGCCCAGCTGTTCCAGTTTGCCCATCAGATGCTGTGGGAAACTAGTTCCACCTGGAGGGAATGTAATGATTGATTGAGGATGTAAATCAGAAGATGATCGTCCCTCAGGACTGTTCTTGGTCTGCTCTGGGAAAGTTTCAGTGGTTGATGAATAGGAGTTTCAGAGATTTCATACAGTAAAGCTCAAAATGAAGCAAATGGGGCAGCTAAGATCCTTTTGAATAAAAACAAGTTTTATTTATACTTTATTAACAATTGACACATAAAAGTAATTTTAATCTTTGGAATAACTGATCTTGAGACTCATCTGTTGTCTGAATGCATTTCAACATGCATTCAGACCCGGCGTCTTTCTACTTGGACTGGACATGTTCTCCCTGAGCATGTGTGGGTTCTCTCCGGGTACTCCAACTTCCTTCCACAGTCCAAAAACATGACTGTTAGGTTAATTGACTTCTCTAAGTTCTCCTTAAGTGTGAGTGTGTGGGTAAATGGTTGTTTGTCCTGTTTGTCTCTGTGTCCTGTCCAACCTGTCCAGGCTGAACCCCGCCTCTCGCCTGTAGACAGCTGGAGATAGGCAGCGGAGCGTGATGAAAATGGATGGATGGGTTAAAGATTATGACGGCTGCTCTGTTTAAAAAACAGGAACTCTCAGAGAAAATAGAAACATGTTAATTTCTCTCGATGGTGCCGTGCAACATCCAACAATTAATGTTTTAATAAGCAGGATTTTAAGGACTAGTTCTCCTCTGCAGACCATCATGGTGGTTAATGTCTGAGACATCCTCCTCCATCCTCCTGGAAACTGCTTTATTTGAAGGTTTGATCCTCACCTTCAGCTCTGAGGTATTTCCTGGTCTTCATGGACCTTATTCTGTGGTTTTCAGCAGGTGTTCTGGTCACATCAGTGGATTTTTGGAATACAGGAACTTAAAAACTGATTATCTCATCAGTAGATGGATAAAAGCGTAATCTTCTGATGTAAAATTTGATTTAAATATTAAACTCTGTCAGGTTTAAGATGAGGAAAGAAGAGTTTCGCTGCGGGGCGCTGACGTCTTCATCTTCTCTTCCTTAAAGCTCGGTGCTCAGCAGTGAATAGTGAGCTGTTGAAATGAACACAGAGCAGGTTATCAGCTGATGGATGAGAGCCTTAAAGGTCTCCCTCCTCCCTGACACACTGACCAGTTTTAGACGCCGTCACAGGAAGCTCTGTTCTCCAGAGTTCTGCAGAGGTTCTGCTGCTTTAACTGATCGGTCTCAGAGGAGTTCTGCTGAAGCTGTGAGGTATTGTTACTCACACTGTGAAGAAAACACCCGGGTCCCTGTGGATTAAACCCACCAGTGTTTGACTCCAGGTAACCAGCTGCTCTGGATTCCTTATTGGCTCCTTCATGGAGACTAAATAACCCAGAACACTGGTGTTATGGATGTCAGAGCAACCGCTTCAGGCTGCTGGATGCTCTGATTGATTATATTCACTATTAGGGGAGTGGTGGCCTATTGGTTAGTGCATTGCACCTTGATTCCTAAGGTTCTGAGTGTGAGACCCACTCCCACAGACTGCCACTCTGGTTCCCAGGTTCCCACTGTTCCCCAGGTGCCACAGAGTGGCAGAGTTAATTTCCTTGCTCTGTACTTCTGACAGTGTAATGACAATGAACAGCTGGAGAAAAATATTCAAAGGCTGCAACTAACGATTATTTTGCGTATTGATTAATTTGTGGATTTTTTTTTTATTCATAATTAGGTAGCAAAAAGTTATTTTTTGTACAGATTTAAACCAGGTGAAACTAAAGCGATTCTACTTGAGGAGTTCTGGATAGAGCAGATTGACAAACGAGAGCTTTTTTCATCTAAAATGCAATATATATATATATTAGGGGTGGAACGGTTCACAAAATCCACTATTCGGTTCGGTTCACGGTTTTGTGGTCACGGTTTTCGGTTCGGCATATGTTGATTGTTAGGAAAATCTACTATGTCTTGTAAAGTACAACGCGTATGTATAAACCCTGTGAATGTTTAATTTAATATGACATATTTAAAAAAAAATCCCCATCATCATCCAGCAGATGTTCAGTTTCTGCCTAAATATTTTCTTTCTGTTGTGGATTTTTGTAACAGGAATAACTAGGATCAAACATAGTTTGTATGAACTATGTTTGTTCTCTGCTTCCAAATTCATCATCTCTTCATCCATTCCCGCAATAAGAATTTTCTTTTAAAGTTATGAGATGTGCTCTAGAATCTCACAACTTCTTCCTGGTCTGTTGAAGCACCAATGGTCTGCATCCAATTATTTAATTAATTGCTCTTAGTTTTTGTATATACAAACTATGCTCTAATTTCTAGTTACCGATCTGTTTTTACTATAATTTAATTTGAAAAACTGGGTCCTCTCTACATTCTTTTTCCTGTTTGGTGCGATTGCAATTGTGGGTCTTGATCTGGACTGACCGGAGCGGAGCAAAAAAGAGCTCAGTTCCATATTTTGACGGTGAAAGACGGAGAAGACGTACGTGGACAGAGAAGTAGCGGAGGATGTGGAACAGCTCTCATTGATTTACATGACAGACAAGTTCTCCGCACGACGTACGTGAGCGGGGCGGAGTGCTGACGGAGTATGTGGAATCTGGGGGTAAAGGAGGACAAACACACGTCCGGCTAAATGCGGCGCAGGACGCCGGACAGTGCAATGAAAATCCGGACTTTCCGCCCTAATGCCGGACATCTGGCCACCCTACTTCCAACTCCTGTTCTTTCCCACTCGCCATACCCACACAATTCTCCACAACAACTGATTCTTTTTCCCTGCTACACCCGGCTACGCTGCTTCGCTTCTTCTTCTTCTTGTTTACTACTGGTGGTTGGCTTTGGTCGCAGTACCGCCACCTTCTGCTCTGGAGTGTAAACGCTTCGCCTATGAGAAAAAGGAGCAGGGTATGAACCGAACGAAACACACGCGAACCGAACCGAGACAGTCGAACCAAACAGTTCTGGTGGTTTTCATAAACCG